AGGGAGAGGGGAAAGGGAAAGAGAAAGGGAAAGGGACAGGGAGAGGGGAAAGGGAAAGAGAAAGGGAAAGGGACAGGGAGAGGGGAAAGGGAAAGGGAGAGGGGAAAGGGAGAGAGAAAGGTGATTGAAGGAGTTGTGGGAAGGAAAAAGGACACATTTTGAAAAATTTTGAAATATGTGCCATCAGAGGTTGGGTTCTCCAGGAAGGAGATCTTGCCAGAGTTAAGAGTGCAGAACTTTCTGTGCACTTTTTCCGGGGTATAACGCCAGAAAAAGTCAAAGGAAAAAGCATGATTGATCCATGGAACCTATCAGACTTTGCTGCAGACCTGACAAAATCTCTTCCAACCTAATGAGGAGCTCCAGAGTAGGAGTCCAACTCTCAACAGAAAAAGCTGGGCCCTTGTACTGCCTTGCTCAGCCATTCTTGGGGGCCACCAGAGAAATGGATGACTTCAGGTCGAATGCTGAGGCAGATCTTGAAAGACCTATCGCTGGAGGCCATCGGCTAAACATGTTCCTCACAGCTAGGCAGCAAACTCGACCCAAGTGCCACCCTGTGTCAGCTTACTCTGCCCTGTGTACCACATGGCTTTCTTCATCCATTTGTATTTAGGAAACAGCCTTTTCAGGATCACTCTTCCTACAAGGAAGCTTACAAGAGGGAAATTAATGGAATGAACTATAGTCCTGTCACTGCAGTTGGTCTTAAGGCCACAACTGGTCCTCTGGTCTTCATCATATCCCTCCACCACTTAGCCACCACTTCAGCTGCTCTCAGTAGCTTAATCTGGTTGGATGCCCTATTTGTAAGTGGTCTGAGCACATCTCAGGCTCAGCTGGGCAAAGGATTACCAAGAGACACCCAAATAGGTCACCAGAATTCCACACATATTCCATCTACCCACACTGTGTAGCAGCAGCCCTTCCTCCTGCTGACCTGCTGATCAGTTGCCTCGGATAAGATGGCCATTCCCTTTCTCACTTCCTAGTCTCTGTCCATTAGGAGGCCAAAGTAGCTGCTGAAAGCCATCACTGTAGTCCAGTGGGATCTCTGCTGCATCTCCAGGCAAGAGTGTGCCCTTTTTGGGAACCAGGACCTCTTAACTCTGCAGGGCCCAGGGTTGCAGGGAGAGGAAATTACAGTGGGTCATCGGGATTATAATAAGGAGGGCCACTCAGGCTTACCCATTCTTTCCGTACTCATGTATAGACACAGCACCATATTAACTTGACTGATTCAAGGCATAGACCATGATGTCCTGGAGGCTGTATCATCATTGTAGGGTATCACCTCCATGCTGGTGCTTTGACTCCATCTTGAACTGGCCATTCCAATACTTTATCCTATAGTTACTGGTGAAGAGTATGACAGGACCATGGATGCCATGTTCATGATTTCATTCCCTCCACTTTCTGTGCTGTGAAAAGATTCATCTGGTAAGATGCTATATTAAGCGTGATTCCACGTCTGTGGATCGGGCAATCTTTAAGACTAGGAAGTGGTGCTACTGACCAGGCGTGGTGGCTCACACCTGTAATCTCAGCACTTTGGGAGGCTGAGGTGGGTGGATCACTTGACTTCAGAAGTTGATCACTTGATCAGCCTGACCAACATGGCAAAACCCTGTCTCTACTGAAAATACAAGTGGCAGCGCATGTCTGTAATCCCAGCTATTTGGGAGGCTGAGGCAGAAGAACTGCTTGAACCTAGAAGGCAGAGATTGCAGTGAGCTGAGACTGCACCATTGCACTCCAGCCTGGGCCACAAGAGCGAAACTCCATCTCAAAAAAGAAAGAAAGAGAGAGAGAGAAAGAGAGAGAGAGAAAGAGAAAGAAAGAAAGAAAGTGGTACTACTGAGGCTCTGTAGGGAGGAATGGCAACCCCAAATCCAGAACCACTGGTTCCGCCAGGACAAAAGGGCTCCAATGCAGTCTACTGGTCACCAAGTAGCCTATGGGTCTCCTTAAGGAATAGAGCTTAGCATTGGTCTTCATGGCTGACAGATTGGACATTCAGAGGTGGCAGTAGCTATGTTCATTTTGGCCAATGACAATCTATGCTATTAGGTTCTTGCATCACTTCCATCTTGGCCACCATGGCCTCTTTGCTCAGAAACCCATTGTGCAGCAGTGGGGGAGGGGGCCTCTCACTAAGCCTGGCCAACATTAACCAGCCAAGTTACTTTGTGTAGTTAGCACATCTTTTTTGGGTCTTTTTTTTTTTTTTTTTTTTTTTTTTTTTTTTTTGTAGGGACAGGGTTTCCCCATATTGGTCAGGCTGATCTTGAACTCCCGACCTCAGGTGATCTGCCCGCCTTGGCCTCCCAAAGTGCTGGGATTACAGGTGTGAGCCACTGCACCCGGCCCTTTTGTGGGTCTTAATGTGATGTGAACGTCCCACCTTGTGCCCACTTCCATACTCCTATTCATATGCTTCCTTTTCCTCTTAGGCTCCCAAACTCCCAGCCAGGCCACCATCACTGCCCACGTGCCCATGTATGTTCTAACCCTAAGCCATTCTCCTTCCATACAAAGCGATGACCAGATGCACATCTCAAAGCTCCTCCCCCTGGGGAGATCTTCCTTCACCACTATTTTTAAGGCCTTCCCTGAATGAGACTGTAATATAGCTGCCATTGCATTTTCAGCTTGTACCCACATACTGAGCTGGAACATCCTTAACCCAAGCTTGGTCCTTTTCCCTCCTCCTTTAGCTGGTTGTATGGGACCCCCTCACATGACCACAGGTGACACCAGGGAGAGGTGCTGGTGCGACGGTAGTGAGTGGCATGGAAATCTGGGC